GGTGGCCTACTGTAGGAGAGGATACCTTTTCAGGCCTTGTCTAAGTCCAACTCACAATGACCCCCTTTCTTCGAGAACCACCCCCATCCATCATGGGGGTGGTAATCAGATTCTCTTTCTTAGGAACACAGGCCTCTTTCAATCTTGATAAGCAGCTGTTTTGAACGAACTACCACGATCTAATATTTTGATCCTCAGAGACATTTGACTGCCTATGTATGGAAGTAATAAGGAAAAATTGACAAATTATGTATTAGTAGTCACACCCTCATTCTTCCCCTGGCAGGATAAGAAAGTTCTGGTTGACAATTCAACGTTATCCAACTGCTCCCCCTATTATATGCTTTCGAATAATCTGTTGGGGGGAGGCGGAGGAAAAGGTAGGGCCAATACTTATTGGAGAGAAATTAACGATGGTGGTGGATGGACGGAAAGTGCTGACCCAGTACGAGTGCCCTGGTGGGTAAGTTTAGAGGGTGCTGAGTGAGAAAAAGAGTACTCTGGGAACTGTAGGGTATAAAAGACATGAAACACTAGAAGACTGTAGAAAGGATTTAAAGAGTGATCTTGAGGGTTACAAATGAGACCTCTTTTAATATTCTTAGGGATAACTTAATAAAGATTGGAATCATTTTTAATTGCTTTGACTGTGGGACTCCATTTTTTCAAGTGAGATGCCACATTCTGAATCCAGGGAACATTTATGGATAAACACATTTAGTCAAAATTGTTCTGACATCAGTAAGGATTCATTAAGAAAGTGTCTTCCAGAGGGAACCGAGTTAGGGTAATTCAAGGCCTTAATTAGGGCTCTACACAGTACAATGGAAAGACCACAATGTCTTCCTTTTTCATTTCTTGCTAGTGAGTTTACCTTCCCTGGGATGGAGTGGCATGGGGTGGTTATTCCGCTCCGCAGAACCCCTTGTCCTTCTGCAGGGTTTGGCCCTGTTCATTAGACCTCCCTCTGCCAGTGAATTCGGGTCAGGCATTTCCGGTCCCAGGGAGGTCACATGACCGAGTTTGACCTATCACAGCCGCAGAGCCACCTGACTGGTGATTGGTTCGGGGGTAGACAAATGACCCCAGTTGATCCAATCAGAGTGAAGTTCGGGAATCTGGGCCTGCTGCCCAGAGAAGGTGCTCTTTTCTTTTCCCTGGGACTGAATCTGGCTCCCGCCAGAGCCAGAGCCCAGTAAAGAGGAGTCACCTGCGGGATGAAAGCTGAGCCCTGATGGCTGCCTGAGTACCCGGATCAGACCCGCCTGTCTGAGTCACTACTCAAACCTGAGTAGTGTACTACTCAGTACACTACCCCTGTATTTTCCGCTGCCAAGATTTTACTCATTAATCAGCTCTTCAGTATAAAACGTTTATTTATTACAGCTTCTGGCATTGGCGAGTATTGGTGTGTGTGCAGTTTCTCCAGGCTTCATCTTGCACATCTAAGGTTTGCTAAGATTTGATGCTTTCAACAATTTTTAAAGAGCAAATTTTGCAGTGTGCATTTTTAGGAAGTTAATTTTATGTTAATGATTCTTTCTACGAAGGCTAATTTTCCTGAGTAATTTTTTCTGCTGTTGCTAACCAGATATAACTTTTCAATCGGTTTTTAAAATTTGTAACACATTTTACCATGTGTAGTTTAGATTTCTATTACTTGTTAATTGCTTCTAAGAGTAATAAGCATAAATTGATTAAACAGACATCATTCATACTTATTGTTTGCAATTAAGAGGGCAAATGAGTAGGGTGAATCAGTCTCTGGAGGCATAGTGGGGTCAAAATGGGAAAGTCACAGCCTTTCAGCTTGAAAGCTGCCTTTTCACCGCTTCACAGGCAGGAAAATTGAGGCTTAGAGAAATTAGTCTTTTTGTCCTGTTAACCTGAAACAATAAAAATCAGTTATTTTACCAGCAAAATGGGTTTATTCCTGAGCAGCAAAGAATTTCAATTTGGGATGTGCAACTATGGCAACCTACAAGCAAGTCTGGTAGAACAAAAGAAAGGAAACTTATCGAGGAGAAGGGGAACTTGGGAGGGGCTGTTATGAACAAAAAGTCCGTTGGAAGAAACTGGGAATTTGAAATACAGTGGCTTTCATTGGCTGAGGTGTGATGGTCTCTCACTGGCTGAGCTGTTGCCAGGCCAAGAGAAAATCTTCCTCTCGCTGGTGGTAGTAATGTCACTTCCCACAGGGGATGTGAGGTACCATCTCTCCCTGCTGGGATCTGTATTGACATTGAGTGAGAGCACCCGCTCTGGCCTCTTGACTCCATTTTAGTGAGGTTTCCCTTTATTAATTTTCACAGTCCAAAGTTGCACAGAGAGTAAATAGCAGAACTGGGATTCAAAGCCAGGACTGGACATCTATTATTATTATTATTTTTTTAAATTTTATTGAAGTATAGTTGATTTACAATGTGTTAATTTCTGATGTGCAGCAAGGTGATTCAGTTACATATATATATATATATATATATTCTTTTTCATATTCTTTTCCTTTATCACAGGATATTGAATATAGTTCCCTGTGCTATACAGAAGGTCCTTGTTACAATATACAGTATACAATTGTATATACAATCCTATATACAATAGTTTGCATCTGCTAATCCCAAACTCCCAAGCCATCCCTCTGCCACACCCCTCCCCCTTGGCAACCACAAGTCTCTTCTCTATATCTGTGAGTCTGTTTCATAGATAAGTTCATTTGCATCATATTTCAAATTCCACATATAAGTGATACCATATGGTATTTGTCTTTCTCTCTCTGACTTGCTTTACTTAGTATGATAGTCTCTAGGTCCAACCATGTTGCTGCAAATGGCATTATTTCATTCTTTTTTAATGGCTGAGTAGTATTCCACTGTATATATGTACCACATCTTCTTTATCCATTCCTCTGTTGATGGACGTTTAGGTTGCTTCCATGTCTTGGCTATTGTGAATAGTGCTGCTATGAACATTGGGGTGCATGTATCTTTTTGAATTAGAGTTTTTGAACATCTATTATTTTATTTTACAAATTGTGTATTGAGTGCCTACAATGTGCCTGACATTTTGTAGGAATCGGAGACACAATAGTGAACAAAACAGACCAAAGCCCCTATTCCCTGGGACCTTACATTTCAGAGGTAGCTTACCTCTTAGTCTGTAAATTCTCACAGCAATGTATTAGGATGTCTTCATTCTAAGTGAAAAAACTGAAAAAGGAATTCATTGGCTCGTGAAAGTCCTGCGGTATGTGGGTTTCAAGTACTGCTTGACACAGGAGCTCAAATGCTGTGTCCGGGACCAGGTGTTTTTCTACCCTTGCTCAGTTTTACCCCCTTTATATTAACTCCAGTCTCAGAAAAGCTCTGTACAATTGCTGCCGCCTCACCCTCTGCTCACACCTCATTTTAATTGCTTAGTCAAAAGGGAGGATTTTTGTTCAACCCATATCCATCAAATTATTGATTTTGATTTAAATTATGAAAAACATAACAAAGTCATAAATGAAGAAGAGACAAATTTGCCCCTGGTCCACCCAAGTTTAAGTCCCTATCTTTGGTTTCTAAACTGTCTAGTCTCTGCTTCCCCTGCTCCCCTACTATAATCCAAGAACCCAGTCATGCCCAGAACCAAACCCCAAATTCCCTGCTTTTTCTGTCTAGACTATTCTCAAATATATTTCTTATGGCTGCTTTCTTTACCTTAGATCATAGCACAAAAGACACCTATTCAAGGAGGTAGTAAAGAATTTAACCTTGTCCAAAAAGCAATCTGTCCTTTGCTCTCACTCCTGGAAGTAGTATGTGTTTGCCTGGGGGCCTTTGGACTAGCCAGAGAGCGCCAATGTGATTTGGGTTACATGGGTACAGGTCAACCTGGAGACTTAGATCAACCAGGAGGGTAATCAATCAACAGTCATGCCTATGCAATGGAGCCCCAATAAAAACTCAGAATTTGGTGGCTTGGGTGAGATTTCCTGGTTGGTGACTTCGTGTATATTGACACACATCAATGCTTGAAAGTAATGTGCCCTGACTGCCCAAGGAGAAGACAACAGAAGCCTCCCATTTGGTGCAACCGGTCTCCCCCCATGCACCTCTGCCCTTCGCTGATGTTAATCTGTATCCTTCCCCTGCGATAAACCCTGTCAGCACTGCAGTTTTTAGTGAATTCTGAGTCCCTCCAGTGAATTATTGAACTTGAGTGTGGTTGGGGGAACCCCCAGAACTTGTAGTTGGTGTCAGAAGTGAGAGTGGTCTTGGGGACTGTTCCCTCTAACTTTGTTGGGCTAAACTCTGGCGCCTCCTATGCCCACCTTTCTGATGTAGCCAGCCCTCTTTCAGCTCTCCTCCAAGTGCATGCCCCTATTTTCTTTGCTTATTTATTTATCTGCTTCTGTATCCTATTTCTCCACTAGAACTGCATCCCAAGGCCTGAGTCCCTGCATATCACCATCCCATGCCATTTTAAGTTATAGTCTTTGTTATGTTCGTTAAGCATTATAGGCCTTACTTTATCTCTTGTCCTTTATTCACACAAAAGGCTGGTATGAAGCCTTAAAGAGAAGGCCTATGTTCAGAATACGCATATGCAAAGCTGCACCCAGCTCATCTCCATAGGTTTGCTAAATTTGTCACCAAATTTACCACGAATTTTTAAAATAAATAAAATGAATGCGAAAACACAAAAGCAATCAAGAAGGGTAAAAGGTGCATCTAATTGACCAGGCTAAGAGGCCGACAGAACGCAGCTCGGCCGGGCCCCGCCCCTCCATGGCCAGCCCCGCCTTTTCCTCAACAGGCCCCGCCCCTCCACTTTCAGTGAGGTTCTGCCCCTTCCCCCACCAGGTCCTGTCCCTGTCCCGGCCTAAGAGGCCCCGCCTCTTTCCCCTCTCTGGCCGGCCCCTTCCCTCCCCGATAGTCCCCGCCCACCCCGCCAAGGCTCCTCCCCTCCCCGGCGGGCCCCGCCCCTCGGGCCGCGGCATTCCCCCAGGAAGGCTCCCGCCGTCTGCGTGGGCCTGGGCGCGGCGCGGGCCGGGCGTACGCAGAGCGCGCCGGCGCGGTTGCCGTGGCAGCGCCGGCGGAGGGGACGGCGACCGGCGGGCTGAGGCGGCGGCGGGGCCACCGAGAGGTCGCGGCCGGCCGGAGGCGGCGCCGGGCAGGCCTGAGCGGCGGCGCGCGGCGCCCGGCCCGCGGGGATGCGGGACCGGCTGCCGGACCTGACGGCGGTGAGTGGCGGACGGATAGCGGTTCGGGCCGGGAGCACTGGGGGAGCGGGCGTTGGCCGGGGCCTGGCGGGAGGGGGTCGCGGGCCGGGCTGGGGCCGGGGGCGCGGGGACGGGCGGGAAGGGGAGGCCAGGTCGGGGGGCGCCGGCCCGTCGGGGCGGCCTAGCGGGTGGGGTCGGGGCGGGGGCGCAGGGCTCCCCCAGCCCGCAGCGCCCCGCGTAGGTCGCCGTCCCCCAGTCCCCCGGACGCCCCGACAGCCCAGAGGCGGGCACTGTTCTGCCCTCGCTTCCGCGCGGGGGGGAAAACAGCTTTTGAAAGGGCGTCTCAGGGGAGCGGCCGGACTGGACCTCGAACCCCTTTTCTGAGCTGGGTTTTGCCGCTTCTTCAGCTTGATTCGTTCCCTGGAGTCACTCCATCCTGTCGCCTGGTTTGAATCCTTGCACAGCACTCAGCACGACCAGAAATTACTTGCTGAATTATGGTCCGTCCCACCCTAGTGGGTGTCAGCTCCTGGGGAGCAGGACTTGTCCCCTCGCCCCCTGTCTTGTCCCTGGGGTCTAAGATGGGGCCCCGCGCGGTGGGAGTGAATGCACCTGACGCGCCTCCGTCGGGGGGCCCTTGCCGGGCTGGATGCTGGGAGGGAGCGGCGAGGCAGGTACGGAGCGGCGCCTTTTGTTTCCCCTGTAAATAGTTTGCTTTGTGCTTGTTTACTGCCAGTAAGCCCAGCTAGTGGAGCGTGTAGGTGCTCAGTGAGTAGCGACAGCAGATTACCGATTATTTTAGTAAGAGAACAGTGTTTTGTTCACTTAGGCGTTGGACTAGTGTTTGATGCATTTCACAGACAATACTGTGAATGAGATGGTGACGTTGAAACTGTAGTGGATGTTTATACTGTGGGAGAGTTGAAAAATTTTAGGCCAACAGAATTAATTCTTTTTCTTTAAAAATATTCAATACAAGTACTAATTGTGCTGAACGTTTGCATTTTGTTTCCCAGTGCACAGAATCCCTGGCAGCCTCAGACCTGCGCTAGGCCCACTGCCCTAAGGCATCCATTGAATGTCATGAATTAACTTCTCTTCTTTGCTTCTAGAATGGATCTAGCTGTGCCCCAGGCTTAGGAAGTAGAGAGAATAGTCAGATTATTATCTGTGTTCTGTCCGCCAGATGAGGAATCTTAGTTCAGAAAGGCAGTGAATTATTCATTCTTAAGATTATGGAAATTATGCTTTTACAGTCATCCCCAGATAGTTTCTTCATAGTGATTTTTCTTTCCTTCCTTTTTTTGTTAACGGTCAGGTACTTTGACCTCTGCACTTTGCAGGTCAGCGTCCTGTGAAACAGCAAATTACTGTTCTGTTATCTCACTCAAGGGAGTATCTTTCCTTGTTAGAAGTAGAAGCTCAAATATTTGTTAAGAAATGACGAATGTATCACGAGAGGATAGCCAAATTTTTGAATGTTGGGGAATAGTAGAAAAGATGTGTCAGTGGAGCATGTGACAAGCTTTTCTTGGCTTGATTAGCAAAAAATAAAGACAGTTATTTATTACTCTTCAGCGTATGTGTATTTCAGCTCTCATGGCAACAGTGTTCGTAAGAACAAGTTTTGATCTAGAATTTTAGAGCAAGAAGTGACCTCTTCTGGTCCAATATCATCTTGCTGTAGATGAAGACTAAGCAGCTGTAGAGCGAGTTAGCAGAAGTTTCTACGTCTGGAGTCGTCGAATCTTGGGCAGAGAATTTTTAAACCTCTCAAAACTTCACTTTTCCTGTATATAAAGTGGGGATAGTAACATCTTTCTTGTCTACTCTCATGGAAGAAGCTGTGAAACATAAAATTATCTGTTGCGTGTGCCACTCTGGGAGAAGGTGGGAGAGAGAAAACGGTCTGTAATTACAGGTGCTCTTAATATTTATTAGTTTTTAAAAATGTTTTCAGGAAGTTATAAAAAGGAACCTTCTCCCTGGCATAAAATATTAAGTTAAAATTGACATACTTAAAGTTTGATAACTTTTAATATTTAAAAACTTCTCTGAAAATTATCAGATATAAAAGATAATTTTTTTTCCAGGAAATGTGTCCTCTCCAAGTAGTTCTTGGAGAAGTTGACTGTCCTTTCACAACCGTGTTTCTAAATGGCTGGTGTTTTTTTCCTAGGTAAAGTTTAATATTTAATTTTGGTAGTTAAAATGCCTGTCATGTCCACATTGACAAAATATTTGTGATGCGTCCTAAAGATTTCTTTATTAGCTGCTAAGGATTCCTCCTGAGAAGAAGATTCCCACTGGTAACTACTCAGAAAGGACTTAGAAGTTAGTTTGTCTAATACAGTTTGTCAAATATAGAGTTAGCTGCTTCTAAGCAGTGATTCTCCTTTTGAGCAGCCAGTTCATCTGGGTGCAGAAAGTTTAACTGACTTGCCCAAGATTGCCTAAACTCTAAATCCAGAAAGATGTTTCTGGATTATAAAAAAATAAAAGGACGACCCATTCAGCAGGCACTTGAGTGCCAGTGCTCTACGAGGTAATGTGCTAGGTGCAGGGGACACAGAAATGAACAGGGTGTGTGCAGTGGGTGTGCACAGCCCAGGGAAGGAAGAGTGAAGAAGCAGAAGGAAATACTGTTTAGGAAATAAGTCAATCAGAACGGAATTGCTGTCCTGTAAGATAATGACCCCAAATATATTTTGATTACCTTTAAGAAAAGTTTGCAAATGCAACTGGCTATATTTATTATAGTTAAAAATAGAAAAATTGCAAATTTCAACTGTGGGAATTTGCAGGGTAATAAACATAAACACACAGTAGCTATGTGGTATTCATTAGTAGATGTATGAGAAAATTACCTTTCAAAAACATTTTATTGAAGTATAGTTGATTTACAATGTTGTATTTAATTTCTGCTGTACAGCAAGGTGACTCAGTTATACACATATATATTCTTTCCCATTATGGTTTATCACAGGATGTTGAATATAGTTCCCTGTGCTGTACAGTAGGACCCTGGTGTTTGTTGAGAAAATTACTATTTTTTTAACATCTTTACTGGAGTATAATTACTTTACAATGGTGTATTAGTTTCTGCTTTATAACAAAGTGAATCAGTTATACATATACGTATGTTCCCATATCTCTTCCCTCTTGCGTCTCCCGCCCTCCCACCCTCCCTATCCCACCCCTCTAGGTGGTCACAAACCACCGAGCTTATCTCCCTGTGCTACGAGGCTGCTTCCCACTAGCTATCTATTTTACCTTTGGTAGTGTATATATGTGCATGCCACTCTCTCACTTTGTCACAGCTTACCCTTCCCCCTCCCCATATCCTCAAGTCCATTCTCTAGTAGGTCTGTGTCTTTATTCCCCTCTTACCCCTAGGTTCTTCATGACATTTTTTTTTCTTAGATTCCATATATATGTGTTGGCATACGGTATTTGTTTTTCTCCTTCTGACTTACTTCACTCTGTATGACAGACTCTAGGTCTATCCACCTCACTACAAATAATTCAATTTCATTTCTTTTTGTTTGTTTTTTTGTTTTTGTTTGTTTGTTTTTGCGGTACGCGGGCCTCTCACTGTTGTGGCCCCTCCCGTGTCCGGAGCACACGCTCCGGACTTGCAGGCTCAGCGGCCATGGCTCACGGGCCTAGCCGCTCCGAGGCATGTGGGATCCTCCCGGACCGGGACACGAACCCGTGTCCCCTGCATCGGCAGGCGGGCTCTCAACCACTGCGCCACCAGGGAAGCCCTCGTTTCTTTTTATGGCTGAGTAATATTCCATTGTATATATGTGCCACATCTTCTTTATCCATTCATCTGTTGATGGACACTTAGGTTGCTTCCATGTCCTGGCTATTGTAAATAGAGCTGCAATGAACATTTTGGTACATGACTCTTTTTGAATTATGGTTTTCTCAGGGTATATGCCCAGGAATGGGATTGCTGGGTCGTATGGTAGTTCTATTTGTAGTTTTTTAAGGAACCTCCATACTGTTCTCCATAGTGGCTGTATCAATTTACATTCCTACCAATAGTGCAAGAGTGTTCCCTTTTCTCCACACCCTCTCCAGCATTTATTGTTTCTAGATTTTTTTGATGATGGCCATTCTGACTGGTGTGAGATGATATCTTATTGTAGTTTTGATTTGCATTTCTCTAATGATTAATGATGTTGAGCATTCTTTCATGTGTTTGTTGACAATCTGTATATCTTCTTTGGAGAAATGTCTATTTAGGTCTTCTGCCCATTTCTGGATTGGGTTGTTTGTTTTTTTGTTATTGAGCTGCATGAGCTGCTTGTAAATTTTGGAGATTAATCCTTTGTCAGTTGCTTCATTTGCAAATATTTTCTCCCATTCTGAGGGTTGTCTTTTTGTCTTGTTTATGGTTTCCTTTGCTGTGCAAAAGCTTTTAAGTTTCATTCGGTCCCATTTGTTTATTTTTGTTTTTATTTCCATTTCTCTAGGAGGTGGGTCAAAAAGGATCTTGCTGTGATTTATGTCATAAAGTGTTCTGCCTATGTTTTCCTCTAAGAGTTTGATAGTGTCTGGCCTTACATTTAGGTCTTTAATCCATTTTGAGTGTATTTTTATCTATGGTGTTAGGGAGTGTTCTAATTTCATACTTTTACATGTACCTGTCCAGTTTTCCCAGCACCACTTATTGAAGAGGCTGTCTTTTCTCCACTGTATTTTCTTGCCTCCTTTATCAAAGATAAGGTGACCATATGTGTGTGGGTTTATCTCTGGGCTTTCTATCCTGTTCCATTGATCTATATTTCTGTTTTTGTGCCAGTACCATACTGTCTTGATTACTGTAGCTTTGTAGTATAGTCTGAAGTCAGGGAGCCTGATTCCTCCAGCTCCATTTTTCGTTCTCAAGATTGCTTTGGCTATTCGGGGTCTTTTGTGTTTCCATACAAATTGTGAAATATTTTGTTCTAGTTCTGTGAAAAATGCCAGTGTTAGTTTGATAGGGATTGCATTGAATCTGTAGATTGCTT